CTGGTGGTTCAAACCCACCAGCTGCTCCTTGGAAGGAACTGCCTCGGAATTTCACCAGAGTCCCACAATAGCATACATTTAATTTGTGATCTGTCTCTATAATCTAATCCTTGGGTAAGAGGAGACCAATCACCAAGCATGGGAGGAGCAGCATTGAGTGGGGCCATAGTTGTAAATCTCAATTTAGATGGGAGGGAGCCCTTGCAGGTTCTTCTCTGCATTTTATCAAAAGACCACTTGTATGTGTCTCTGACTAAGCAAGATTTAGATTCAATCTAGTTCAGTATTAGGCTTTGAGCAAGGTGCTTTCACATACATTATCTCATTTCATCATCTGAATGAAAAACATCTATTAACATCATAAGGATTATAAAAGTATAATAGCAAATGAAAGTATATAAACTCTATAAGCAAACTAGAGCAATTTAAAACAGTGCTTCTCAAATGCTCTTGGAGAAGGGCCAATCTATCACAGACTAATATTTTTGTAAAATAAATAAAAAAGTGAATTCCTAGGGGGGAAAAAAAGACATTCAAAATTTCAGCCCTGAATTTTTATCATTCGATTAAGGAGACATTAAGTTGCATTGTTAAATGGATATAAATGTTTTAAACACTCTCAATTTCTATACTCACATCATTGCGGACTGATAACAGTTTGCAGATCAACACTGGTTTTCACATCACACTTTGTGTAGCACTAATTTATATTCACAAGCCATTCCTCATTGGCCTTTCAAGAAAGACTGATAAAAAGGGAATATACCCACGACCATATATAAGTTTGACAGATGATATTTCTACATACATATTTGTGCTATAAGAATGTCCATATATATAATAGGGCTAAAAGTGGGCAAAGTTATGATAACTTCTTAGCCACAGCCAACCACCCTGAAGGAGTCAATTGTTATGCCTGTGGGCTCGAGACCATGGTCGTGGGGCACGATCAAGCTCAACTGACATAACACATTACACAAAAACATTGTTCTATATCCTACTTTGGTGAGCAGCAATTGGGGTCTTAAAAACTTGCAAGTGGCCATCTAGATGCAATAAATAATTGGTCTCTCCTTTTGTTGAGCAAAGAAAAATGAACAAAACCAAAGACACATGGTAACAATTAGTCCAAGGGACTAGTGGACCATGCAAACCTCAGCCTATATGACCCTGAGACGAGAAGAATTAGATGGTGCCTGGCTACCAACGTCAACCAGTTGAAAAGGAATTGGAAGAAAAATGTGGAACAAAATTCAAAATCATAAAAAAGACTAGGCTTACTGGTCTGATAGAAACTGATGAAACTCCCGAGACTATGGCTTTGAGTCATCCTTTGGGCCTGGAATTGAACTCACTCCTGTGGCTTCCAGCCAAGCAACAGACAGGTGTATAAAGTGAACATTTACACCAGATAGGTACACTCCCTAGAACAATCAACCATGGCAGATCAGAAGAGCAGTATTTGCACAGGGAGATAGCTCAGAGGGCAGGAATGCATAGGACAGAAGGATACATAGAAAAGGTAACTACAGGGAGGAAGTTGGAAGAGAGCTATTACAATATGAAGATCATAGTCAATGTTATGAAACAAAATGTGTATGAACTATTATCTAGAAAAGGAATTTGCTCTACAAACTTCCATCCAAATCACAATAAATATTTTTTTAAAGTACCTCCAAAAAGAAAATTATCTTAGAGGCAGAAAGGTTTGAAAAGCAAGAAACTATACATATCCATGAAGGAGTTCTGGTGGTGCAATGCCTAAGCCATTTGACTGCTAACCAGAAGGGTGGAAGTGCAAACCCACCAGCTATTCTGCAGAAGAAAGACGGAGCAATCTACTTCCATAAAGATTTACTGCCTCAGAAATGCAATGGGGGTTGCTATGAGTCGGAATCGACTTTTTTGGTATATTTGGTTTTTTGGTATACACACCCGCAGACGTTTCTATCTATATTAAGAGGACTTTACTGTTACATTGTCTTCATCAATATGATTCTACTATTTCAAAAAAACTTTTGTCCAGTTAGATAAGAGTTGCAAATAGCTTTATTATTCTGAAAATTTCTCTTCTACCAAATCCCATAGAGATGAACATAACACTTTTAAACTTTTCAATTAAAAAAAAAATCTCCATTGCTGTTGATTCCAACCCACAGTGACTCTATAAGGACAGACTAGAATGGCCCTATAAGATTTCCAAGGCTATAATTTTTTACAGAAGCTGACTGGCACATCTTTCTCCTGCAGAGCTGCTGATGGGTTCAAACCACTGACTTTTTGGTTATCACCCAAACACTTAACCATTGCACCACCAGGTCTTCTCAATTTCTCAATGAAAAACCAAACTCACTGCCAATGAGTCGGATCCAACTCATAGTAACCCCTCCTTGGGTTTTGGAGGCAGTATCACTACGGAAGTAGATTGCCCAATCTTCCTTCCGAGGAGGGGTTGAACCGCCAGCCTTTTGGTTAGCAGTCAAGTGCCTTAGGCACTATACTACCAGAGCTGTTTTCTCTCCAAGACTCCTTGAAAGCCTCACTTTGTTCTGCCCACCAGTCCTAGCCTATCACATCACCACCCTTAGGCAATCCTGAACAAGCACCATCCCCCACTGAAAGACCAGCCTTAAAGTAGAATCAAAACCTTAAAAATATTTTCACTTTGTCCTCCTCTACTACAAGGTGCTACTAAGACACTGCCAAGGTAGTTCTCTCCCTTGCCATGTTGTTGTTGTGTGCCGTTGAGTCGGACCCGACTCATAGTGACCCCCCTTCGGTTGCCAAGGCAGTATTACTAAGGAAGTAGATTGCCCAACCTTCCTTCCGAGGAGTGTCTGGTGGGTTTGAACCGCCAGCCTTCTGTTTAGCAGTCAAGCGCCTTAGGCACTATGCTACCAGAGCTCCTCTCGTTTGCCATAGTGCACAATAAACTCAGCTTTGCCATAGTTTATTTTACTGGTATTTTCTGGGAGCCAGCACTCAACAATCAAGATTTTCCATTTTTTCCTCCTTTTCACCTTGCTCAGAGATTTTGAAACTTTAGTGTACACGCAAATTACTGAAGAGGGTTGTATATGCAAAAGCATGCATGGGCAATTTAACAGTAATTACAGAATGTTAAGGTTGGAAGTGGTCCTAGGTTCCCAAACATCAGTGTGTGGAGTAGCTATATCAAAACCATCTGATGTAATCTCTGTTTAAAATATCTGTCCCTTGGTCCCACCTCAGATCCACTGAATCAGAATTTCTGGAGCTGCAGCCTATGAATGCACATAACAAACTCTGTAGGAGACTGTGATGTGCAGTCAAGTTTGAGAACCACTATTCTGAGCTATCCACTTCATTTGGTAGATGAAGAAATAGAAACTCAGAACAGGGAGTAAACTTGCCCAAGATCACATAGCTATTGAGTTCTATGTCTCACAATTCCCTAGCAAGTGCTCCCAGAGCTAGAGATGAATTTTGGGAGACATCCACATGTATTCAATGTGCTGAACAAGGATGACTAATAATGTCATCAAAACACAATTTGATTTTGGCTTCTCACCATCTCTTTACAACTTATTCAGGGGTGGGGGAAAACCATAGGATGGGAGGATTGCCATAAATGTTCCCCTGCTCCAGGGTGCAAATTCTAACAGACCTCATGACTTCTCTGCTTTCTGTTAGGTAAGAAGCATGGGCTAAAATACAATTTACAAAGGTAAAATCATGACCTTCAAGCAAATATAAAATGAAAATACACTCTGCTGAGAACCTATTGACCATCTTGTTGAATTTTTTTGCCCGTTAGTTTTCTGTTAGCCCAAGCAGAGCAGGATGGATTGTTAATAACTTTAGGAACATCTGCTGGGAAGAAAACACAGCTGGCCATCAGAGAACTGCAGGTGGGGGACAGGAAGATTCAAGGTCCAGGCAGCTATTCTCTGTAGTTTTCCATTACTCAGACCACATGGCTTCTCAAGCTCACTTCTTTGCACTATTTTTTTCTTTTTTTTCCCCCTTAGCCTTCCTCCACTCATCAGTATGCTAGGTGTTAAACATGGGCCCTCTCCCCCTCGATTTTTGCATGATTCCTTAACCAACAACTTCTGACAACAGTCTGTCTAGTTTAGTTTCTGAGACCGTTCTAGGTGGGCAAGCACAATAAAATAGGCCTTTTAAAATTTTCCAGTGTAAGTGCTGGAAACACTGTGCTTTGTGTTGTGTCTGTTATCCTAAACGAGTCTGGTTTCACTCTGTTGCTTTTATTTAGGCAGGATAGCTCTGGGGTCGTGGGTGGGTGTCTCACAGGAGCCCATGTTGTACCCTCCCCATTGATGTCGCCACCCACATTTAGTACCCTCTTGGGACAAATCATTGTGCTGCTAAAAACAGGTGACTTGCAAGAGTAAAGAATTTCAAACTTCTCGGTTTTGGATAGAAAAGGGGAGAAGGCGGTTGATGAGACATGAGACCACGTTATGATCACATGATAATGCGGGAGCAGTTGCATGTGCCCAGTTTGGTAGGGCCCGAAGCTTACACATTTTTGTTTACTCCTAGTATTTCTTCCCTGATCTGGCTCACTCTTTTTGGTGGGCACGAGATATGGGCCTGAGAACTCTATAGGCAGAAATCCAGGAAAAGAGAGAGTTCCAAGCACATGAGGCAGAGACACGGGGTGAGTAGCAAGTTGGTTCGTTTAGGCAAGTAATCACAATGAAACCCTGATTTGTGCCAGGATCTGTGCTGGGTGCCGAGCTGGGAGAACTGAGCCTTCCAGGCTCGACAGCTCCCAGCCGGCAGGATCACACACACACAGATAAGGCCGCAAGTCCTGCAAGGGACAGATTTGGGGCATCATCCCTGTTCCGGGCAGCCAAGGGGCCCCGAGCACGCAGCTCCTTCCAAGGCGGAGGGCGGCGCGAGGGAGGGAGAGAGGGAAGGGAAAGGCGAGCGTGAGCTGCCTCAAATGCTTGGAATAATTCCGCTTCCGTTTGGAAAGCCGAAGCCTCAGTCCCGCCGCCCGCCGCGTCCGCCCAGCGCCAGCTCCGCGTCCCGACCCGCTCGCGGCTGCCCGCTCCGCTGCCATGGCCACCTCCCCGCAGAAGTCGCCCTCTGTCCCCAAGTCCCCCACTCCCAAGTCGCCCCCGTCCAGGAAGAAAGATGACTCCTTCTTGGGGAAACTCGGAGGGACTCTGGCCCGGAGAAAGAAAGCCAAGGAGGGTGAGTGCGGCCGGGCCCGGTGGGCCGGCGAAACCCGGGCCGAGGGGCCCATGCGCCGGGGGCCGCGGCGGCAGTGCGCCGCGGGTGCCCGGCGCGGTGAGGGCGCGCGGTGGCGCGTGCGCGCGCTTCCCGGGAAGGTCGCGCGGGAGGGGTTCGCTACCAGCTTGGCGGCCCTCGAGTCGCGTGGGCCACCGTTACCGTCGCCCCGCCCTCGGTGACCGAGGCGCTGTTTTCCTGGGCCTGGCCTAGCGCCCAAGTCGGAGGCCGGCTCTGCGTGGCTCGAGGGCCGAGGAGGCGGTGGCACTGGCGTAGGCGGCCGGAGCGCAGGCCCGAACCTACCCCGGAGGTGTCGTCCTCCGGTAGGCCCCAGGTCTAGGTCCTCTCCGCGCCCTAAGGCTGGTGTTTCCCAAGTTTCAGCTGAAACTTACCTGGGTGCAGTCACTGTCACTCTTTTGCCTTCATTGGTCTCTGAAATCCTAGACCTGCCTTAGTCTGGATGCAGCCGTGGCCCCTTTGGATATTTTATCTGCCCCCTGGGCTCAGCAAAGCTCTATTAATGTACTAGACCAACAAAAAACATTTGCCGAATGAATGAGTGACTTGCAGGCTGTCCTAGCGGTACCGGAGTACAACAAAAAACTCACGCCCAGGGAGAAAAGTCAGATTCAACACCAATTTAGCATCATAGGGCTTGATCCTTCCGTGAACTCAGGTGCTAAGGGCTATTGCAAAAGCCATTTTCTTTGTCCCATTAGGGTGAATCGAGGCCACACTCCCCGCGCCCCCCCCCCCGACAGTTTACATGTAAAAGTGTTTTGTCCTGTGGGCAGACTTTGCTTTCTATGTTTTGGTTTGAAAAATGAGGTGACAGTTCTCAAGAAGAACTAGTAATACAAGTTGCTTGGTTAAAATAGTTTTTAATAGACTGCTCAGTGCTTTGAGAATTGGGATTTGGGATGAATCATGCTTTTGAAAGCTGTGATTAAAAAAAATAAGTTTGTGCTGTAAAAAAGAACTTCAACTTGACACAAAGAACTAGATTGCTACTCTCTAGATTAAAATGAGAAGCACCAAAATATATCCTCCAAAATGTTTTCCTCTAATTTTGTTATTTTGGTAAGACATTGTCTGAGTAGGGTACTGAAATCCTGGCTGGCGAATGCCCATTCTAAGACTACCCTTCTCTTTCCTACATCACTCCTGACATGGGTTATTCAGTCCCAAACTAGGCAACTCAGAATTACTGAAGCTCATGAGCTATAGGGAGAGCGCACCCCACCTTTGTCAATTTCCCAGAAAAGTTTACTTTATACTGAGTCAAAAATTGGTCTCTAACTACTACTACAAGTTTCCCCCAGCATCTGAAAGTAGAGTTTTCCTATGAAACCTGCCGTAAGCTGAAAGGGTATAAAGCGGAGAAACAATTACCATTCATTTATATGGGATAATTTTTTGAGTGATCCCAGACCCAAAAAAATAGCCTACCAAATGATGCCAAATAACAATAACATACAGTGTTCACAGATACAGTTCAAAGTCATGGGGCTTGATGCTGACTTCTAGCGGAAGGAGCTTGGTTGAAGACACTCTTGCTTCTCAGGGGTGTGTGCTGCCTCTTTAACCGCTTGCTGCAAAATAGATGCTGAATGCTAGTCTCCTTTTTTGTAAAAGCGAAGTGGCAAAAAGCAGACTTTTGAAAAGTGGGGGCACGTGTTCTGTTCTTTTTTTTTGTTTTGTTTTTCTAGTTTTTTAGTAATTACGAACACAGTCATTGCAAGTCTGTATGTATGCATTCTATTCTTAGAGCCAGGAGAATGAGTCTGATGATGGCCTTTCAATTATCTGTGTATATTGTGATTGGGGTGAAATTTTACAGAGCAAATTGGTTTTCCATGCAATAATCTACATTTTGTTTTGTGACATTCATTATAATCCCTGCTATGTAACAGCACTCTTCCCACTTCTTCTCTGTGTTTATTATTTTTCTTCATCCTTCTTTCCTATCCCTTCCTGCCTTCCTAGCTATATCCCTGGGTAAATCCTGCCCTTTTGATCTCCTGTGGTTGATTGCTTTAATGGGTACCTACCTCCCTGTTGTTACTGTTTGGGTACAGGCCTGTTGTCTGGCTGAAAGTTGAGCCATGGGGCTGAGTCCAACTACAGGCTTGAAGGGTGTCTAAGGGCCAAAGCGTCAGGGGTTCCACCAGTCTCTATCAGACCAGTAAGCCTCAAAATCATAAATACCTTTCAACTTTCTAAAGTTGAGTAGTCTATTCCTTGGAGACGTCCTTTCACCAGCCAACATCCTGTTACTTAGCTGGGATTTTTAAAATAATTTAGTGAAGGAACTATTTACAGGTGTGGGCAGAGATAAGGGAGCCGAGAAGAGATACTGAGGCACTTCTTGTTGTTGTTGTTATTTGCCGTCGAGTCGGCCCCGACTCATAGCGACCCCTCCTTGGGTTTCCGAGGCAGTATCACTACGGAAGTAGGATTGCCCAATCTTCCTTCCGGGGAGTGGCTGGTGGGTTTGAACCGCCAGCCTTCTGGTTAGCAGTCAAGTGCCTTAGGCACTATGCTACCAGAGCTCCCACTGAGGCACTTAGGGGCTAGCAATTAGGGCAAGCCATTACCATCCCTAGAAAGGCACGAGGAGAGAAAGCCAGAACCCATTGAGAACTGGAGCTATAGAAGAGGGATTGCTTGATAGGAACTGGAGTTGTAGCGGGGGGGACCCAACCATCAACAGAAATATGAAGATGGAGCAGGGAGAGAGTACTGGATGAAATACAGGCTCCCTCGCTTTTTGCCCTGGAACCTCCTGCCGGTGAATCCCATTGGCTGAACCCAGTGGGAAGCCACTAGGACAAGGAAATCTGGGTAATACAATATGTAGGGGCCAACTCCTTTGGGGTGCAGAGCAGGAGAGAGACTGAATCATAGTGGGGATTCACAGGTGGAGAATAACTACAGAGCAACTGGTGGGTTCTAACCACCAACCTTTCAGTTAGCAGTTGAGTGCTTAACCATTGCGCTACTAGGGTTCCTTCTCTTTCCCCTAAGATTCTGAAAATACGCTCGCATTTTACCCATTTGAAGAAAATCTTCTGGAACTGGTTTCCTCTTAAGCTACCCACATCTCCTTCTTTCTTTTGGGACCAGAGGTTTGGAGAGTTTTTTGTACTGGCTTCTTCCTTTTTCTTATCTCCTAGTTGCTTCCCAAGCCACTATTTCCATTCTTGCATCACTTGTTTATTGAGTGCCTACCATGTGTCAATCACTAGGCTAGATGCTGAGAATATCACAAGAGACCAAAACACACAAAAATCTCTGCCCTCCTAGGGCTTACATCCTAGTAGGGGAGACAGAAAATAAACAAAATATATCAGTAAAATGTGTGCATTGTGTTTGAGTGGTGGTGAGTGCTGTAGAGTGAAATAAAGCAGGAAAAGGGGAAATGCAGTGTACAGAGAAGGAGATAGTTGGTAATTTTAAATAGTGTGGCTAGGGAACACCTCACTAAGAAGGGCATATTTGAGTTAAGATATGAAGGAGGTGAGAGAGAGAGACATGTACATCTTGGAAAACAATATAGTAGGCAGAAGGAATGGCACATTCTAAGACACTGAGTCAGGAGCGGATGTGGTATCCTGAGGACCAGCAGGTAGGTCAGTGTGGGTGGAGGGGAGAGTAAGCACAGTTGTGGAAGGTGGTGAGGAGATGAAGAAGCAGCTGAGGAGGAACTCACAAGAAGGACTAACAAGGAGCATCCAAAGAAATAGGAGGAAAACCAGGGGAGTGTGGACTCCTGGAAGCCAAGTGGAGAATTCTCTTCTGTTCTCACTATTCAAGTGAAACTTCCCTGGTTGAGGGCTCCAAACTCTACTGTCTTCCTGTCAGTCCTGATGCCAGTTGAGATCTTGGAGGCATTTAGTATCGTTCAGCTTTGCCTTAGAGTTGTCCTCTCCCCTGACCTTGTCCACGCTGATTTATCCCTGTGTCTCTGACGCTTCTTCTTCTGACTCCTTCTCTGACTTTTCTTTTTCTCTTTACCCCTTCAGTTTCGTTTTCTGGGGTTCTGACTCCACCTGCCTTGCTCCCCAACCACTGGCCAGTCTCACCTACTCGTATGGAATTAATCACCACCTACCCACTAATGATTCCCAGTTCCAGATCTTTCACCCGTAGTCCAGATGCATCTTTTCCACTGTCTCCTGGATGTCTCACCAAACCAAAGCCACTGCCATCTAGTCAATTCCAACTCATAGTGACTCTTTAGGGGAGAGTAGAACTGCTCCATAGGGTTTCCAAGGCTGTAAATCTTTATAGAAGCAGACTGCCTCATCTTTCTCCCATACAACGGCTGGTGGGTTCAAACCGCTGACCTTTTAAGCATCCTGGTCCATATTTTTGCAATGACCTATTTCAGTTCTCTCTACAACAAACTCTTCGTCATTATTCAGATCCAACTCAAATATCCCTTTCTGTATGCAGTCTTCCATCACTTCCCCAAGGAGAGTGAGATGCTTCTTTTTCTGTGATCTCCTAGCATCTTGTTCATACTTCTTGATTGCAGTGGCCACGTTGCCCCTGTAGATGTGCATGTCCCTATGGCAAGAGCCTTCCTGCCTAGTGTAATATTTAATGCATAATGATACTGGAATTTCTATAGAATGAATTTCCCCACATTTAGCTTGGTGAAAATACCCCACCGCTAGCTGGTTGTGTAACGTTAGACAAGCCTTTCCCCCTTTCTGATGTGATTGCCCATTTCTAACATTAGGGGATTAGGCTAAATCACCTCCATGGGCCCTTGCAGCTGTGGTCTGCTAGGACTTCTGAGCTCTCATTTCACCAGGCTTCTCTCAAATTTAGTTTTATTGTCTGTGTAGGGTGGTCTGGGAATTACATCATCACAAAGACCTTTTTCTTTCCTCCACTAATGAAGGCACCTTTGTGTCAGGAGGAGGAGATGGCGACCAGGATAAGTGGGCTGCAGC